TGAGAAACAGACTGACATACTGAATGCTCTATGAGAAACATAAGTGAATATAAATAAATGATATTATTGAGATTTTTGGTTATTAATGGTAATATAAATGTTAAATGAGATTTTGCAAGTACATAAATGGACGAATTATTGTGGTACACAAAAATATTATCCCTGATAATGGAGCCCTAGTGCTCTTGTAGAGCAAAAAGTAATATAGGATCTGTCTCTTCTCGGAGAAACACAGTGTTTATTTGTTCCACACTAATCTTTGAAATCAAACTATATCATTGAATCGTGAACTTGCTAAAGCACTTCTAATGTTCTCATAAAGGAACCAGTCAATGATGACCAGTCCAGCCAGTGTGTTTTCTGGGACACGGAGTCCGGTGGTAGTGCCCAGTGGTCATCGGCTGGCTGTGTCTACAATGGAACTGTTAATGGGAGGACAGTTTGTCTTTGCGATCATTTGACGAACTTTGCTATTCTCACGGTAAGTGGTTCATTAGACACATCAGACAGGAAGTTTATATTCTGGTTTATCCCAGCACAGCACAGCCAAAAATCCACGCGGTGAGAGGTTGCAGACGAGACCAAGTAGGTGATTGTAGAACTGGGCCGAGCATGGTGTGGCCTCATCTCACCGTGCATTCCGGTTGCAATATAGGCCTACCCTGATGGGCTCATGAAGCCTTTACCAACGGACGGAGGAGCAGAAGATAGCAGCAGTTAGCAGGAGGGCGAGCTGCAGAAGCAGGATTACGACCAGCAGGAGTAGGATGATGAGCAGAATGAGGAACAGGAGCAGGAGAAGAAGACGGAGCAGCAGCAACAGGAGCTGGGGTAAAAATGGGAGAAGAAAGGTCGAGAAGTATCAGCAACAGAAGTAGAAAGAAGAAGTAGTAGCAGCAGAAGTAGCAGCAGCAGAAGTAGCAGCAGCAGAAGTAGTAGCAGCAGAAGTAGCAGAAGTAGCAACAGCAGAAGTAGCAGCAGCAGAGGTAGCAGCAGAAGAAGTAGCAGAAGCAGGAGGAGACAAAAAAGGGAAGAAGAACGTCGCTTTGCGTTAATGTTTTATGAAGTGTTGGTCAATTGCTGATCTTTCGACTTCTTTGAAGCCGGAGTGCATCTGACAGAATCGATGAATCAGCAGTCTGCAGAAAAATAAGTCAGATTTGTAAAACGGATTCGCATGCAAAAGCCACGTTCTGAAAGAAGACAAAAGTCCAGGAGTAGACGAACAACCAGAAAACTGCGGTAGAGTTTACAGCCGCTATACGCTGAGAAGAAGAAAAAGACCTTGCCATTAGTACCATGGTGGATAGATATCTATCTACCTGCAGAGATATGGTTACATATTCTTTGACCACTGTATTTATTTAGCTGCAATACGCTATGTCTGTTTTCGGCGGAGCTGCGATTTGTTTACTTTCACATGTGAGGTGAAATCAGATGCTTTAAAGTCTGCATTAGTGTGAGTGGGAGAGTGCAGCTACAGCATAGCAAGGGGAGATAATAAGGCAATTACATAAATGGAGAACATGTCTTATGCTTGGCTATCTTCATTCTACTTTCAAATATGGAAGCACAGCAGGAGAAAGACGTTTTGGAGTTACAGTACAATTTGGTCTACTGATAATCGTAGTACCAAATTTTCAGGATGATACAGAAATGGGAGTCTTAATTTTGTATCCAAAATATTAGGTCAAATGGATTAAGGAACTTTGATTGTTATAATTTCAGGATTTCTATGGTGACAGAGTCCCAATTTCCAAGGGTCACGAAACAGCTTTAACAGTTTTGACAATTATCGGCCTAATACTGTCAATTATTGGACTCGCCATTACTATCATCACATTTTTGGCTTTCCAGTAAGTGCTCCTTTTTCATAGGTAGTTGGTACGTACTGGTTGCTCCAGTGGTTAGACGATGGGTTCTTATGCTGACGATCTGGGTTCGAATCCTTGTTATAGATGTGACGGTATTTAACCTCAAAAGGTGGAGGAAGAGGGGGGGGGGGGGAGGAGGGAGAGGCAAATAAACGTCCTAACCTGAATAGCTGACAACAAATGCACTTGTCACGCGGTCCCAAATCACTAGACACCCTGCCCCACCCTGCCCTACAGCGATCTTAAAAGTGTTACTATGAGCGGCAAAGACATAATGTTTACAATTGTTAATACTTGTATTCACTCACCAAAGGTGCAGACAGCAGAGAACATAGATTGTGAAGTTCAATCTTCACTGATGTCCTAGAATGTTGAACAAGTTGCAGTAATTCACTTCATGAGATTATGATACTGCATTTACTTTGACCTTATGTGCTCATTTACCTTGACCTTATGTGATCATTTACCTTGACTTTATGTATTCATTTACCTTGACTTTATGTGCTCATTTACCTTGACTTTATGTGTCATTTACCTTGACTTTATGTCCTCATTTACCTTGACTTTATGTGCTCATTTACCTTGACTTTATGTGCTCATTTACCTTGACTTTATGTGCTCATTTACCTTGACTTTATGTGCTTATTTACCTTGACTTTATGTGCTCATTTACCTTGACTTTATGTGCTTATTTACCTTTACCTTGACTTGATGTGCTCATTTACCTTGACTTTATGTGCTTATTTACCTTGACTTTATATGCTCATTTACCTTGACTTTATGTGCTTATTTACCTTGTCTTTATGTGCTCATTTACCTTGACTTTATGTACTCATTTACCTTGCTTTATGTGCTCATTTACCTTGACTTTATGTGCTCATTTACCTTGACTTTATGTGCTCATTTACCTTGACTTTATGTTCTCATTTACCTTGACTTTATGTGCTCATTTACCTTGACCTTATGTGCTCATTTACCTTGACTTTATGTGCTCATTTACCTTGACTTTATGTGCTCATTTACCTTGACTTTTTGTACTCATTTACCTTGCTCAGTTTTGACAATGAGCGCTTGCGACTGTTTTAGATAGTTAGCTCTGCACGTGTAATTGACTACACTACTTGTGCTGTCGTTTTGGCTGCATGTTCTCCTAAAAGCTTTTGTTAATTATTGCCCAATACAGAAGTTCTAGAGAGGCTTAGAATGAAAAGAGAGCTGACGAATAGAAACACATATCTTCTTCTTAAAGTCCATGCCGTGTGGCGTTGGTAGTCATGGATTATCCACAACCTCCTGTCTCGTGTACTTTCAATCAACTCTGCCATGATGTCAGACTGTCAAGCATCTGTTCTCTCGGTCTCCTTCTGCCTCTTCCCCCCTCCTACTTTCCTACCGTCACGATGTACTCTAGTTTTCTCCTTCTTATCACATGACTAAAGTTATAAATATAAGAGAAGGCAAATGTCTTAGCTGTATTAGAAGATATGACATTCTGTATGTTTGCGTTACTTTTTGTTTTATCTGAATGTCTGTCTGCCTCCTATGTCTGCCATGTTTATCTTGTCATGTTTTGCCATGCTTGACCTATTCTTATCATGTTTCGCCTGTCTACTTGTCTTTACTAACAGCTTACTTACCTATCAATATGTTCTTCTGATTGTTTTGTTTGCCCATCCTTCTCCCTGGTTCTCTGGTTCCTTCTCCTTCTCTTCCTTCCTCTCTAGCTCCCTTACTTCCCCTCTCTGGCTCTCTCTAAACATATTACACATCCCTTAACCTAGTATTAACTTATGCAAAACAAGTTTAGCATACTCCGCAGCTCAAATAAAAAAATACCATTAGTCTATACATACAACTGGAAGCTGTTTGAATATTATCTGAGTACAGATTAAACGCTTCATAGAAGATATCCCCCCCCCCCCCTTTTTTTTCTCCCCCACCCAAAAATTATTTGTTTTACAAATAGCGCACGTTTTCAGTAAATTTGTTACAGTTACTACATTTTGGGCGGCGTCCGTGGCTAAGGCGTTGCGAGTCCGACTCGTGAGCCAGCATACCGCGATCGAAACCCACTGCAGGCTGCGTGGATTTTTGTCGTGGTATGGGACGTCGCAGGTCGACCCAGCCTAAAATGGCTACCAGGATGGGCTGTCCTGGGAAAGTAAAGACAGCCGGTGTAATGCTGACCACATTACCCACAGAGTGCTGATGGTCTGTAAAAATATGGGACGCTCTGCCCATATGCCCGATGCGCCGAAAGGCGGGAAAAGGGATCTTTACTTTTTTTTTTTTACTTTTACTACATTTTACTGTAGTTTAAAACGTGCACATTCCATTGAATATTGTGATGATATTGGTAATGTTTACTATCACTTGATCTGTGAATCAAATAATGTCTGAAAGGCGGAAGACTAACAGGGTAGAATGATAGACGGGCCTGCAAGCCTAGTTCCTAACCCTTTGAAAATAAAGTTTGTTCGTTTGTTCTTTCTTTACCCGCTCCCTCCCACTCCCACCCCCACCCCTTTTTCCCTCTCTGTCTCTAACAGACACTTATGAACAAACACACAGACACTTATAAACAAACACACAGACACTCATTAACAAACACACGGACACTTATTAACAAACACACAGACACTCATAAAGAAACACACAGACACTCATAAACAAACACACAGACACCTATAAACAAACACACAGACACTCATAAACAAACACACAGACACTTATAAACAAACACACAGACACTCATAAAGAAACACACAGACACTCATAAACAAACACACAGACACCTATAAACAAACACACAGACACTCATAAACAAACACACAGACACTTATAAACAAACACACAGACACTTATAAACAAACACACAGACACTCATAAACAAACACACAGACACTTATAAACAAACACATGGACACTCATAAACAAACACACAGACACTCATAAAGAAACAGATGGACACTCATAAACAAACACACAGACACTTATAAACAAACACACAGACACTCATAAACAAACACACAGACACTCATAAACAAACACATGGACACTCATAAACAAACACACAGACACTCATAAACAAACACACAGACACTTATAAACAAACACACAGACACTCATAAACAAACACACAGACACCTATAAACAAACACACAGACACTCATAAACAAACACACAGACACTTATAAACAAACACACAGACACTTATAAACAAACACACAGACACTCATAAACAAACACACAGACACTTATAAACAAACACATGGACACTCATAAACAAACACACAGACACTCATAAACAAACACACAGACACTTATAAACAAACACACAGACACTCATAAACAAACACACAGACACTCATAAACAAACACACAGACACTCATAAACAAACACACAGACACTCATAAACAAACACACAGACACTCATAAACAAACACACAGACACTCATAAACAAACACATGGACACTCATAAACAAACACACAGACACTTATAAACAAACACACAGACACTTATAAACAAACACACAGACACTCATAAACAAACACACAGACACTTATAAACAAACACATGGACACTCATAAACAAACACACAGACACTCATAAACAAACACATGGACACTCATAAACAAACACACAGACACTCATAAACAAACACACAGACACTCATAAACAAACACATGGACACTCATAAACAAACACACAGACACTTATAAACAAACACACAGACACTTATAAACAAACACACAGACACTCATAAAGAAACACACAGACACTCATAAACAAACACACAGACACTTATAAACAAACACATGGACACTCATAAACAAACACACAGACACTCATAAACAAACACATGGACACTCATAAACAAACACACAGACACTTATAAACAAACACACAGACACTCATAAACAAACACACAGACACTAATAAACAAACACACAGACACTCATAAACAAACACACAGACACTCATAAACAAACACACAGACACTCATAAACAAACACACAGACACTCATAAACAAACACACAGACACTCATAAACAAACACATGGACACTCATAAACAAACACACAGACACTCATAAACAAACACACAGACACTCATAAACAAACACACAGACACTCATAAACAAACATGTGGACACTCATAAACAAACAGACAGACACTCATAAACAAACACACAGACACTCATAAACAAACACACCGACACTCATAAACAAACACACAGACACGCATCTGATGTAACTGATCATCTCAGTTATCTCTCCCATGTGTTCCCAGAAAACTACGACAAGGTCGCGCCCAACAAACCCTGTTCAACATGTCCGTAGCTCTGCTCTGCTTCCAAACGACCTTTCTCATAGGGGTCAAACTGACGTCAGTGATGCCTTTATGTTTGGCGGTGTCGGTTCTTCTCCACTACTTCGTCCTCGTCTCCTTCGCCTGGATGTTGATAGAGGCGGTGCTGCAGTATCTGACCTTCGTCAAAGTGTTGGGTACTTATGTGTCCAGGTACACATTGAAGACGGTGCTTCCTGCTTGGGGTGAGTCTATGCTAGGGACTATGACGTGCCTGTTATGCTGGGGACTATGATCTGCCGGATATCCTGGGGACTATGACTTGCCGGATATGCTGGGGACTACCTGCACAATTTATGTTTTAGTTGTATTTATCTTCATGTTATATCGTCTGAATTTTTGCATGTTGAAGCTAGCTCGTTCAAATGTTCTTGTAGTCTACAAAGTCTTGAAGTAAAAGTTAGCGACGTTTTCAATTTCCTAATCCTTGAGTGTAATTATTGGCACCCCAGGATATCATACACTGGTCAACTACATGAGTCAATTCCCACGCTCCTGGATCACATGTCAGCTACCAGTCACACAGTCTAGCAGGTTGCTTTATCTGTCCATGGGGTGTCCCAATCAAACTGTTTGATGCTGTTGAAATGTGTATCTAGAACTTATCGCTGTAGGACTGGCATCCGACAATTGGCTGTTTAAATCTTTAAGCTACAGTCCAGTGTGGGGAAATACGGAAAAAAAAAAAAAAAAAGAAAGGAAACATTACCCCCTCTCCCTATGTATGTTCATAAACATATATTTTAGTTGCAACTGTGACTATTGATAGGATGGACTGTTGTAATTTAGTTGAGGTTTGAACGGAGCACGACAGACACATTGTCATGAATTAGTTGGCCTTATTGATGTAGAGGGCAGGAGGGAGAGAAGGACACAATGCCATATTTCTAATTTTTCTATCTATATTTATAAGTATCAGTCAAAACAATTAATTCTATTTATTGTGAATAGAATAGATCAAGTGAAAATATTCCGTTTATTCACTTGACATTGAAGACTTATGAAACTCTCATAAACTAAGTTTCAGCCAAACAACTTTGCCAGTGTCTTGATCTGAACTTACCCCCAGAATATGTGTTACAAGACTGCCCACTCCTGGAGGAGCTTCGAAACAGGTGGCCACACTCAGTAGACATGACAACTAAGCTTTGGAGAAACCCAGGAGAAACCTTCTACTACTTCGTTTTATAACCCATGGTGAATTAAGCGATGACCAGAGAATGCAGCAGAAGAAATATGTGTATATTGTAATCTTTCAGTGTCAGTGGCTTCAATAATTCCCCTCTCTCTTGGTGAGAGGAACTCTCATCTGCCAACCAGATGTTCTAGGACTTGGCTTTGTAAAAGTGTGACGCTCTCACTGACGCAACCTTTGATCTCTGATGACGCCTGCTGAGAACCCACCCCAACGTACACTGTGCTCTCATTTCATTTTATACATTTGGTCATAAACTCTAAAGAAATCTGGTATCCTCAGTATTTGGAAGTAATCCACTTGTAATTTTTCTTCTTCTTCTTTTCCTTCTGCTTGCCAGTAGTTTTCAAATGAGAAGGCGGCAGGCGTCTGTAAAGTCTGTGGTGAAACCAATGTCTACCATTGCTCCCAACATCTTGGTTTCCTTTGGAATGCCAACCGGATCAATGTGGAATCTGTCCACTGCATGTGGAGAGCATGTCTGTAGATCACGTTCAGTATTCTGCCGACCATGACCATATAGGCAGAGTTTTAAATCCCCAGTCTTAAATGTCCTGCACATATGCCAGCAGAGTCTGTTGTATCCAGTATGCAGTCTTAATACAATGGTATATTTCTTTTATGTGAGAAGGCTGATTGTGTCTTTATGATTGTACCCTGAATGGAAAGTGTTCCAAGCGGTTGTAGAGACTGCTTTTTTTTTTTTTTAAATTTCGACGCTTGATTGTGATTAGTCAATCAATCTGGCATATGCTGTCAAGCATTCTGGTCAGAAAGAGATAAATGTTGAGCCAGATTGTGTTTCATCTTCTCCTACTTTTTTATTCGCCGGAGGATGTATTTGTGTTGTGCCTGTTTGCAGCATAGCTGTGATTCTTATCTCTTTTGACCGATACAAATGACTCCTTGGGGACTTAGATGTATGAATTTACTCACAACTGTTGAAGATCCTCTGGTGTGGTATTTCTGTTAGCACTGTGGTGGTGGGATTATTCTTTTGGAGTTTGTAATGTGTGTGTTCGCGCGCGCGTGTGTGTATTTGTATGTTGTGTGTCTGTGTGTGGTGTGTGTGTGTGCTTGTGTATATGTGTGTGTCATAGGGGTCAATTATTTTAATAACATATCAAATTTTAATGCCATTCTAATTATTATTATTATTAATATTACGTACTTAAACAAGAATAAGCTTTGCATAGGCTCCTTGAGTCTCCCATAGAACACCTGTCTGTAAGAGGTTGAGACGCCGACCCCCACCTGCAGCACCCCACTCCCGCTTCTATTTTCTTTGTCTGACGCCCATGGTGTTTGTGTGTGTGTGTGTGTGTGTGTGTGTGTGTGTGTGTGTGTGTGTTGATGACGTATTGACTCCTGTGATTATACCGTTAAACAATCTATACCTGGCAACACTGATTCGGTAGGCAGAGATGAGAAGACACTGACAACAACCTTGGATTTTAGCTGATTTCTGAATGGATTTTGTTGAGATAAGAACCGACATCGCAACACTCCCAATATTCCCATAAGCGCGTTGTCTCTATCTTTAGCAGCCAGCGCAGTTTCAGTTCCTGTGGTACCAGTAGCAGTCTGTATCCCGGCTTATCTCCCCCTGGAGTGTTGAGTGTCTGCCAGATCCACTAGTTAGCCTCCCCTTGACTATTGTCTGAAGACCCTGATGATCTCTCTGTGTGCCTTCGTACAGTTAACTCGCTCCAAAGAACCTTGATGATATCTAGCTTCTTGTCCGTTTACTACCACGTGGTGCAGAATCAACCAGTCTGCCTGCCTGGCTGTTTAATAAGAACGAATATTTAAACCCAAAAATGTCAAGCAACGAGAGCGTGCAACATGGAAGTAGAAACACCAAGATGTAGGCGACAAGCAAGAAGAAGACGGAGTGTAACAAGAGTCACTGATATCTTGAAACTCCCTAACATCTCAGCATACCAGGCAACCGAGCCTGCCCTAGCTCGAAAACCGATCATCTGGTAGTCTGAGACGCCTAGCGGCAGAAAGCAGACAATGGACAAAAAGAAAGGCAAATTAAAAAAATATATATATGATGAATAAAAGTAATGAGAGTTTGTGTGAATGTTCCGATTGCTGACACGTCACCTCACACATATGTGAATGTTCCGATTGCCGTCACGTCACCTCACACATGTGTGAATGTTCCGACTGCCGTCACGTCACCTCACATATGTGTTCGTTTATCCAGACTCTTTTCTTTAACCAGAAAGTGATATTTGTGTCTGCTAGCTCAATGTTGCTTGTGTGTACACTGTTTTCTTTGCTTGCTTTGTCTGAAAAGCCTACTTTAAATTTTTGTATATTGCAATAATGGGCACGGGAAAGTTGTCACTAACTTGCATGTCAACTAACAGCTTGTGTGTTACTGGGGTTGGGGAGAGGAGTGGGACAAGCGCATCTGGGAAAGAATGTGCATTAGTGTCTAGTGTTAGACACACGAGAGAGAGAGAGAGAGAGAGAGAGAGAGAGAGAGAGAGAAAGAGGGAGAGAGAGAGAGAGAGAGAGAGAGAGAGAGAGGGAGAGAGAGAGAGACAAAGAGGGAGAGAGAGAGAGAGAAAGAGGGGGAGAGAGATAGAGAGAGAGAAAAAGGGAGAGAGAGAGAGAAAGAGGGAGAGAGTGAGAGAGAAAAAGAGGGAGAGAAAGAAAGAGGGAGAGAGAGAGAGAGAGAGAGAAAGACGGAGAGAGAGAGAGAGAGAGAGAGAGAGAGAGAGAGAGAGAGAGAGAGAGAGAAATAACATATACAGTGAAAATGTAGTTTATCTACTTAATGACCCGTTTAAGCCAAAAGCTCTATTACACGGTAAACAAGAAACTATAGTATTAACAAAGATAATAGAGTTTTTCCTCCCGTCTGCCTTGATAGACAATGTATCATCAATATCTTGTATCCACATTGGCGGAGGTCGGTCCAGAAGCAGGCACTCTCCATCACTTCTAGGCCACCAGAACGTTTTACATGACCAGCTCAGCTGTGGATGAGTCAGTTCTCTTTGATATTTAAATCATTTGGGATGTCATTTCCGGTTTTTTTTTTTTTAAATCTTTTTCCCCCCACCTTTCCATGATATTTTAAGAATTTTCTGTAGCATTTCAGTTTGAAAGATAAGATTTGTTTCCTCTGGAGATTGAGTAAGGGTCCGTGACTCCCATTCATCAGTTGCCAAGAGAAAAATGATTGATCTCAACATATTTTCTGTAACTGACTTTCAGGTGCTGTGCCATATGTTACTCATCGACGCTCACAACGGTATACAAGTGACAGACAAACAGTCTGGAACCAAACTGCTTGGAAAATAATTAAAATATGGTTGAGTCGGGATTGTCAATTACGCTTACAGCTCCCTAAGCCACAAAGGCCACGAAAAAGGCTCAAACCGTTGCCCAGATCAAATTGAAACAGTCTGGAACACATCGCCTGCATTTGCCCGGAATCCAGTTGGTCAGGACTGAAATTCCATTATAACTTTAAGCGGCAGACATCCATACGACTCTTCTATTGTTGCCTAAATGAACGCAAGGCGTTAACTCTGTCAGCACCTGCCAGTGTTTCTCTAGCTAGTTGTGTATGAAAGTAAGGTTTCTTTGAACGAATAACGAGTGTATCAAAATGAGTTCAATTAATCGCTTTCCTGAAGAGAATAACAAACGAAATGTCCGTCACTTCCACAATCAAAGCTGGCTACAGTGTACAAACTGCTCTCTGACTTTTGGTATCCTTCGAGGAGAGGTCCCAACTTCTTCTTCGGCGCGACTCTCGTACCACTGGCTAAATACCACGAAATTAGCACTTTGGACCCCCCCCCCCCCCCCCTTTCCAAAGTCCGCTGCGAAAATCTAACTGAAGTAATCAAAAGTTTATTACATTTTAAACGCATTCACTAATTATTAAGTCAAGAGCCCCGCAGTAAACAAAATATCTCACTGTTACAACTGGGATTCAGTAGACTGTTGTAACAGTTTTATAAAACACCAGGAAATTAGGACATATGACGTCAGGAATGCCCCGAGTGCTGTGATGTGGGTTCTTGAATCAAATCAATCAATCATGTCAGAAATAACTAATAAACGCTCTGTGAGTACCTTAGAACTGGATGGCCAAAGTTAGGAAATGTAGCGATATAGTAAGTAAAGAAATGTAGCGATATAGCATTATTCATTGATAGAGCTTTCTGTTTCTTTCATGATACGTGACGGTCCAGTCGATAAGTAGACCTTGTCTGTTTCAGACTACCACTAACAAAAGGAACGTTGAGGTTAGAAACCCTTTATCGCATTTCACAAACGAACGCACTTCTGATGGCTACCTTATGCTTTTAATGCGTGTGTATGCTAGTGCATTTGCTGAGACAGCAGTCTGTCAATCTTTCCACAAGGGACTGTCATGAACATTCTGTGTGTTTTTCCTTGGCACAGAAGCGGAGCATCTATGGGATGACCCATTTGCTATGAAGCTGAAACTAACATTAACCAAACGCTGATACAATTACAAACAATACATACCTGTCATATTTCCAGCCGACACGTGTGTCTACAATTTTGCCCTTTATTGTATTCTCTGCCACACAGCTGCTGGATGGACCTCCAGGCTTACTACTACGCCTTTGCTTTGCCAGTTGGCATCATCATTGTCTTCAACATCATCATGTTCTGCATCATCATCGTGAGCTTGGCGACCAAACCTAAAGGCTTGAGGAGTAACCAGATTAACAGCTCGGCAACGAAGACCAGCCTCAAAGCCGCCATTACTATCTTCGTGTTGCTAGGTTTGGTTGTGTTGTCTTTCATATTTTGTGTTGCTAGGTTTCGTTGTGTTGTCTTTCATGTTTCCTGTTGCTAGGTTTGGTTGTGTTGTCTTTCAAGTTTTGTGTTGCTAGGTTTAGTTGTGTTGTCTTTCCTGTTTTGTGTTGCTAGGTTTGGTTGTGTTGTGTCTTTCATGTTTTAGGTTGCTAGGTTTGGTTTTGTTGTGTCTTTCATGTTTCGAGTTGCTAATGTGATAGCAGGAAGAAAGAAGAAGGAAAAACAGAAAGAGAGAGAGAGAGATAAAAAGGATAAAATTGTGATTAAAACAAAATAGCTCCCCGCAAAACAGCAAAAAAGGAAAGTAAGAAAACACAGGAGTTCTTCTGGGCAGATATCCTAGAATATTTCACTGAGACCCTAACTATGGATATCTGTATAGTGAGTTACACGATATCGACCTAACTACATGAGTACACACACCTAGACGAACCACGGACTACAGGTCGTAAATTAAATCAAGCAAGTGAATTATGATCACATTAAACAGCTGTTTATTTTACTTAACATAAGATCAGCGTGGTCCACGAATAACATTAACAAAAACGTGCTCGACCAAAATCTAAAATGTTAATCATCAAATCCACCTTCACTTAACCAAATGAAATGTACCACCGTCTGCGAAATTAGTCTGACCATGGCCTTTCCCTGCGGTCGCCATACCTGCTGACTAGCCCAATGTGCAAAGCCGCAACAGCTAGGTAGGTCTCTACAGGGAGCGTCTGGAAGTCAAATAGGGCAATACTGAATGAGTTTTTCCTATTTATACTTAGTGGCCAGATTTTTCTCTATCTTGCTGTCTAGGACTAAAATTCTGTGGCGTGTTGGTCATTTTTAAACCAGACTAAATCAAGATCTTTAAGCTGCTGAACTGTTGTCTTTCCAGCCTATTACAATAGGTTTGGTTGTGTTATGTCTTTCATATATATACACGCGTGTCTACAATTTTGCCCTTTTTTGTATTCTCTGCCACACAGCTGCTGGATATATATATATATACATATATATATATATATATATATATATATATATATATATATATATGTGTGTGTGTGTGTATATATATATATATATATATATATATATATATATATATATATATATATATATATATATATATATAGCGGGCACTTCATGGCTAATGCAGTGAGTATAGTACATGCTGTCTTTACTTCCCAGAGAATTTCCCAGTAATCTTTCTAGACCTGATTGATAGGAAAGTTATAACAAACATAAAAATTTGATTAAAAATATACCTGAACGACGTGGTACCGGAGTCTAGACGGTTTAAGAAATAACAAACCGGAAGACGCTGAGATATCAAAAACAAACAAAAAAACAAACATGAAGAGCACTGGTACAAGAGTTGCACCGAGGACGGCATTGGGGCCTCACAGCATAATATTCTCACAGACAGCAGTTCATGTATGCAGCCAACCACCAGTGTGGAAACGACAGGAAATTAACTGACTTCCTTTGAGAAAAAATGTTAAAGCATTGTGTATATTCCCATAAGTTCTCTGTTTCTGTTCTTAACAGCCAGCCCTAGAATGACATTGGTACAAGTGACAGTGTGACTGTATGTCTGTTCTGTCCCTCCCCTGAGTTCAAAATAAATTAATTATTAGAAACATGACAGACACAGCACAAGCAAAGCTAGCAACACGAAACATGAAAGACATAACACAACCAAACCTAGTGTAATAGGCTGGAATATATATATAGATTCTTCGTCTTCTTGGAGTTTACCAGCTGTAAACTCTGGCGAACATTTCTGGCTCTTCGTCAACTTCTGGACATTAGTCTTGTTCCATATTTTCAGTTTAGCGTCCACATTCGTGTTTCAGATCGGCCTTATTTGTAAGCAGACTGTTGGTTCCTCTGACTTTGAAAGAAATACCCTCACTTAGTCGCTTTTACGGCATGCCTGCTAAAGGACAGTGGTTCTATTCCCCGCCCGCCCAAAGTTGTCTTGGAATCCAAGCGGATTATATATATATATATATATATATATATATATATATATATATATATATATATATATATATATATCATAGGGGTAGGGAATGAACAGTTAACTCCTCAACGTAATGTCTTCTATATCTTGAAGTGGGGCCAAATGATCGCGATCCGTTGTCTTATGTAATGATCGATACACGGCCGCGTCACATTTCTCGGAATTCTTTTCTTGAAGTTAAGTGGGGGCGTGGGCGGAGGGGGTGGGAGAGGAATCCTTGATTATGAGGATTAATGCAATAATCACCGACTGGGATTTAATTTTTATCCACGACAGAAAAAAAAAATATAAGCCCTAACCCAGTTCCACTTGTTGTCCTTTATAAATCCGTATCCTTGATATTTATAAATCCGTATCCTTTATATGTTCTTCTTTTCGTTTATTTTAAAGTTGTTCCTTGCCACATTTTATCCCACTGATGAAGATTGGGTCGAAACGCTGGTCTGTGTTTGTAATGCCAGGCATATAGAATTCATGTTATGAATCTACCTATTAGTTATGTGGCTGACACGTGACACATGCCACTGTTTCTGTTGCCAGGTTTGACGTGGATTTTCGGCTACCTGGCTATTGAAGATGCTCGTCTGCCCTTCCAGTACGCCTTTACCATCCTCAGTTCTCTACAGGGCTTTTTCATCTTCATGCTGCTGGTGGCACGGAGAAAACAGGTCAGTGTTATTCCTTGTGTTCAATCGGAACTCTTCGCTGGCTGCTGAAGATGGGGACGGAGCGCTTACGGGAATGCCCTGAGTGCTGTGATGTCGGTTCTTGATTCAAATCAAATCAATTTGTGTTCAGTGCTATTATTTCATGACCATGGTCAAAACAGTGCACGGGTCTCTGTCTGCACAATCACTAGCAGCGGACTTCGATTGCTGTGATTGATTCGGTACTGGGCGGAAGCAAAGTGGTTAATATCATGTGTGAGGCATTTCGCAAAGATTAATTCAGCAAACGTCATAAATACCTATCTCTCATCACGCTAATGGAGATGTTATATACCCTGTAGCCGACATACTTAAACATATGACTTATAACGAAGGACGTTTAATTATTTAACACAATATAGGCGTTATCTGTTCGTATAGGCTTGTCTGAGATCGGTGCAGCTATGTGCATATAGGCTTGTCTGTGATTGAAGCAGCTATGTACATATAGGCCCGTCTGTGATTGGAGCAGCTATGTGCACATAGGCTTGTCTGTGATTGGAGCAGCTATGTACATATAGGCCCGTCTGTGATTGGAGCAGCTATGTGCACATAGGCTTGTCTGTGATTGGAGCATCTATGTGCAAAAAGGCTTGTCTGTGATTGGAGCAGCTATGTGCAAAAAGGCTTGTCTGTGATTGGAGCAGCTACGTGCATGTAGGCTTGTCTGTGATTGGAGCAGCTATGTGCATATAGGCTTGTCTGTGATTGGAGCACCAATGTGCATATAGGCTTGTCTGTGATTGGAGCAGCTATGTGCATATAGGCTTGTCTGTGACTGGAGCAGCTATGTGCATATAGGCTTGTCTGTGATTGGAGCAGCTATGTGCATATAGGCTTGTCTGTGATTGGAGCAGCCATGTGCATATAGGCTTGTCTGTGATTGGAGCAGCTATGTGCAAAAAGGCTTGTCTGTGATTGGAGCAGCTACGTGCATGTAGGCTTGTCTGTGATTGGAGCAGCTATGTGCATATAGGCTTGTCTGTGATTGGAGCACCAATGTGCATATAGGCTTGTCTGTGATTGGAACAGCTATGTGCATATAGGCTTGTCTGTGACTGGGGCAGCTATGTGCATATAGGCTTGTCTGTGATTAGAGCAGCTATGTGCATATATGCTTGTCTGTGATTGGAGCAGCTATGTGCATATAGGCTTGTCTGTGATTGGAGCAGCTATGTGCACATAGGCTTGTCTGTGATTGGAGCAGCCATGTGCATATAGGCTTGTCTGTGATCGGTGCAGCTATGTGCATATTGGAACTGCTGTGATATAATCCCCACTAATCAAAACATTTTGTTGTTAAAAAAGCTAAGACACCCGACAGTTGAGTGAGCATACAACACAGTTTATACTAGGACACCCGACAGTTGTGTCAGCACTCAACACAGTTAATACTAAGACACCCGACAGTTGAGTGAGCATACAACACAGTTTATACTAGGACACCCGACAGTTGAGTGACCATGCAACACAGTTTATACTAGGACATCTGACAGTTGAGTGAGCATACAACACAGTTCATATAAGAGACCCGACAGTTGAGTGAGCACACAACACAGATTGTACTAGGACACCCGACAGTTGAGTGAGCATACAACACAGTTTATACTAGGACACCCGACAGTTGAGTGAGCATACAACACAGTTTATACTAGGACACCCGACAGTTGAGTGAGCATACAACACAGTTTATACTAGGACACCCGACAGTTGAGTGAGCATACAACACAGTTTATACTAGGACACCCGACAGTTGTGTGAGCATACAACAAAGTTTATACTAGGACACCCGACAGTTGTGTGAGCATACAACACAGTTTATACAAGGACACCCGACAGTTGAGTGAGCATACAACACAGTTTATACTTGGACACCCGACAGCTGAGTGAGCATACAACACAGTTTATACTAGGACACCCGACAGTTGAGTGAGCATACAACACAGTTTATACTAGGACACCCGACAGTTGAGTGAGCATACAACACAGTTTATACTAGGACACCCGACAGTTGAGTGAGCATACAACACAGTTTATACTAAGACACCCGACAGTTGAGTGAGCATACAACACAGTTTATACTAAGACACCCGACAGTTGAGTGAGCATACAACAAAGTTTATACTAGGACACCCGACAGTTGAGTGAGCATACAACACAGTTTATACTAAGACACCCGACAGTTGAGTGAGCATACAACAAAGTTTATACTAGGACACCCGACAGTTGAGTGAGCATACAACACAGTTTATACTAGGACACCCGACAGTTGAGTGAGCATACAACAAAGTTTATACTAGGACACCCGACAGTTGAGTGAGCATACAACACAGTTTATACTAGGACACCCGACAGTTGAGTGAGTGTACAACACAGTTTATACTAGGACACCCGACAGTTGTGTGAGCATACAACACAGTTTATACAAGGACACCCGACAGTTGAGTGAGCATACAACACAGTTTATACTTGGACACCCGACAGCTGAGTGAGCATACAACACAGTTTATACTAAGACACCCGACAGTTGAGTGAGCATACAACACAGTTTATACTAGGACACCCGACAGTTGAGTGAGCATACAACAAAGTTTATACTAGGACACCCGACAGTTGAGTGAGCATACAACACAGTTTATACTTGGACACCCGACAGCTGAGTGAGCATACAACACAGTTTATACTAAGACACCCGACAGTTGAGTGAGCATACAACACAGTTTATACTAAGACACCCGACAGTTGAGTGAGCATACAACAAAGTTTATACTAGGACACCCGACAGTTGAGTGAGCATACAACACAGTTTATACTAGGACACCCGACAGTTGAGTGAGCATACAACACAGTTTATACTAGGACACCCGACAGTTGAGTGAGCATACAACACAGTTTATACTAGGACACCCGACAGTTGAGTGAGCATACAACACAGTTTATACTAGGACATCCGACAGTTGAGTGAGCATACAACACAGTTTATACTAGGACACCCGACAGTTGAGTGAGCATACAACACAGTTTATACTAGGACACCCGACAGTTGAGTGAGCATACAACACAGTTTATACTAGGACACCCGACAGTTGAGTGAGTGTACAACACAGTTTATACTAGGGCACCCGACAGTTGAGTGAGCATACAACACAGTTTATACTAAGACACCCGACAGTTGAGTGAGCATACAACAAAGTTTATACTAGGACACCCGACAGTTGAGTGAGCATACAACACAGTTTATACTAGGACACCCGACAGTTGAGTGAGCATACAACACAGTTTATACTAGGACACCCGACAGTTGTGTCAGCATACAACACAGTTTATACTAGGACACCCGACAGTTGAGTGACCATGCAACACAGTTTATACTAGGACATCTGACAGTTGAGTGAGCATACAACACAGTTCATACTAGGACACCCGACAGTTGTGTCAGCACTCAACACAGTTTATACTAGGACACCCGACAGTTGAGTGAGCATACAACACAGTTTATACTAGGACACCCGACAGTTGAGTGAGCATACAACACAGTTTATACTAAGACATCCCACAGTTGAGTGAGCATACAACACAGTTTATACTAGGACATCTGACAGTTGAGTGAGCATACAACACAGTTTATACTAGGACATCTGACAGTTGAGTGAGCATACAACACAGTTTATACTAGGACATCTGACAGTTGAGTGAGCAGTAAACAAATAAGGGCTGATAGTCAAACAAAATCTTGGATATATAATTCCTTTCTTCTTCGCTTGATGAGCGACAGTTAATATCATTAGCATATTTCTACATAAGTGTTGGAAATCTTCCTGTGGTCCCTTGGCGAAGTGGTCAAGTGGTGTCTTTGAGGCTTTGAAGTTCATGAGTTCGTGTAACCGACCCGTAGTTCATTCAGTTCATGAGTGCAGTTTTTACTGAGATCCTTGTAGTTTGCTGTAGCAACTGGTATGGTGATTTGTGTGAAGCTATGGGCAGGTGGCTAGCCATTCTGCAGAGACCTAGCTGTGTGAAATAAGACGGTGAATAAAGTCGATCCTATCGAGTGTAACTTATAACTTTAGATAGAATTGTCTGCACTGTTTGAGGAAGAAGAATTTAGTTTTCGGTGATCTGGCCGACACCAAACACTCAAGGGAAAGGTGAGACAGATGGACGGTCAGACTGTTACTGGTACTGTAGGAATTAGAACTCTGCGCTTGCCACTCAAGATGGGGACGGAGCACTTATTTGAATATCCAGAGTGGTTTGATGTTGATTCCTCAAAGAAACATTAAACAACAATGTATTGCATAGATTTGTTCCACTTTTGTTGCAGGTCCGTGACCAGTGGGAGATGATGTGCTGCCTCAGATGGAAGCGTCAACAAAACAACCAGAAGAAACTGTCGCCATCTTTCTCTAATTCAACAACGTGCAGCACCAGCAACAGTCACAGTCTACACAACGACTCCATCATTCTCTCCTCCTCCACTGGATCCCGCAAATCTCTCCATGTTTAGAGACCCTCCCTCCTCCACAGGATCCCGCAAATCTCTTCATGTTTAGAGACCCTTCCTCCTCCACGGGATCCCGCAAATCTCTCCATGTTTATAGACTTGTGTTACCCTGCCCCCTCCACGGGATCCCGCAAATCTCTTTTTTTTTTTTAACGTATCCAGAAACCATGAGTTGTAAACCCTTTGGCTCGGTACTATGGATTTCGCAACCCTTCGGCATTGATTATGTTTAAAGACATGATACCCTGCCTCCTCCACGGAATTCCGCAAATCTCTCCATGTTTAGAGACCTATGTTACCATGCTTCCTCCACGGGATCCCGCAAATCTCTCCATGTTTAGAGACTTATGTTACCCAGCCTCCTCCACGGGATCCCGCAAATCTCTCACTGTTTAGAGACATGATACCCTACCTCCTCCACGGGATCCTGCAAATCTCTCCATGTTTAGGGACCTATGTTACCCTGCTGCCTCCACGGGATCCCGCAAATCTCTCCATGTTTAGA